TCCTGCGCCACCTCTGACATGTGTGCGGCGTGTCAGAGTACGGACGGGCAGCTTGGGCAGCCAGCTCACCTCATCCGGGCAGCTCTTAGGGCAGGTATCTCACCCCTATACAAAGGGGGTGAGCCTTTCTTCCCAAACACATTCTATTCATTCTCTCAATTCCAGTATTCTCATACACATACTGACTTAAGCATCGGAGGCTCTTCACCGCACACAACCCCCGGTGTGAGAGTTATTTGCAGGTTTCCGGCGTTCTACCGGCGAGGACCAAGATCTATCCGTTTAAACCGGACCAGGAGACTTACACTTGCATTAAATAGTATGTCTAACATGATATTTTTGCTTATCAAAGAACCTCAATTTGATCTCAGATGTTATGCAGAACAAGAAATAATAAGCATATTTTAACATTATTGGTAAAAGCACAACTAATTTTCTGTTAATTATGTGTTACAATTACCTAAATTTTTATAAACATTTTTTAGTATTTTGAAATTGCACCAGTGATTATCAAAAAAAAAAAAAAAATTCAACATATGACCAAACTAAAAGACAAGGTGAGCGTGTATTCAGTGAATAAAAAGTTAAATATGAACATATAACAAGACATATCTATATTTATTGCGATTCAAACACGATCGATTCATTAAAAAATAAATTAAAAAATATCCTACGTATATCGCCGATCGGCTCTTACTCCAGATCTTGTAGATGCTATCAGACAGTGGCTCTACCTCCACATTTTTTGAGTCAATGTTTGATAGCGTCGTCCAACCGGATCTCCTGAGTCGTCCTTTGATATCGCCGTCAAATTCGGTAGTATTTCGGAAGTCGCTTAAACGCACAACAAATCTAGATCGACCAAACATTACAATTTCAAAATGAAAGAAAAAGAAAGATAGAAGAGAACCTGAATAAATTGGAAGCCTCATTGTAACAAATTTGTAGGATCGCAAGTTGAAAGACAAAATCCTAAAAAATCTAAAGGAGGCGGCGAATGAGTGAAGAAGAATGAAGCCCTTATGAGGGTGTTTTTGCCTTTTACATATTTCATAAATTCACCACACCCATCAAATCATTATAAATGGCAAAACTAGGACGCTGGATACAAGAGTCAAAGCATTTTTTTAGAGGCCCGATTTAGGTGGGCGTTTATATCATAAATTAACGGGGTAAATTAGACATGTTTTCTTTAAAATATGATTTAAGTTGCTTTATGTGTTTTATTGGACCGTGGTAAAATTATGTGTTCCCTTAATTTTCTTGATATTTTCCCGCTTGTAAGATACTAATTTTAGATCACGCAAACGAGAAAGGTGTTGTTTTTTAGAAACACTATAACTCCTTCTAATGTCAGAAGACAGTTTCTCGTTATGGTTTGTACGTCGTGAATATCAACAAGAGTCAAGGACAATCATTATCGTATGTTTCTTTATTTCTTAAGTAACGCCAATCGAAATGGTTTGAAAATATTAGTATGTGGTGACTATGACTCGCCACCAATCAAAACAAAAAAACGTAGTGTAAAAAGAAGTGTTCAATAATTTATTAATTTTTTAATTTGCGCCCAACGTGTTGATGTTTGATACATATATAACAAGTTCATTAAATTTAATATTCAAATATTAAAAAAAATTATTAAAATATATCATCCCGTGCATCGCACAGGGTACTGTACCACTTTACAATTAAAAGAGTATATGTATTTATTTGGAAAATGCCGGCATAATTTCAAAATTGGTCCTATAATTTGGCCACTTTCCAAAAAATCACCCCGTCATTGGCCACTTTCATTCTTGATCCTATAAATTGTCCATTTAATCAAATTTAGTCATTTTCTAATCAAATTTGGTCCTATAATTTGATATTTTGGTTCTTTTGTAATTTCATTTTAATCCATGTTCTGGATAAAAAGAGTATATGTATTTATTTGGAAAATGCCCATATAATAAACATAGATCATTGAAAAAAAAATAAAAAAAAAAGAAATTAATCGTACTTTTTGGGCAATGGGATAATTCATTATCTTAGGCTAAAGTCAAATCATGTCATGTGACACTCTTAGAATTGTGGTCCTCATCCACACACACATACACTTTCTCCAGAACCACATCTACCTATTATCTTAATTACACCACAACATTTGTTTATTAAGTACTTTTTTTCATAGCTCCAACAGTTTCCTACCAACCATAAACAAAAAGAAACTAAAAAAATAAAAAAATAAAAAATGTCAGGCAAGCAGTGCTGTGAGAACCCTCCAACTTTGAGTCCAAATAGTGGCGGAGGCCAACTCCAAGTCATTGGAGGCCTCAACTGCTATGTCTCTGGATCTCCTCTTTCCAAGTTTTCGGCTGTTTTCATCTCTGACATTTTTGGTAACCTCCTTTTTTTTTTCTTTTGTCCACTAATCTCTTTTGCTGTCTTAAAGTGTTGTATTCTTCCTTTTTCTTTTCTATATATGTTTCTTAATTCCTTTACATTTCAGTCTTGACCCTTGACAAGCAGGCAAACGAACAAATTTCTTCTTCTGATTTATCATTACTCTTGCTTAATTTTCAAGATTATATTTTTTTTTTTTTTGGTACAAGGACCTTCCGGTTTCCGGATCCACAGGGAAACCGACTAATCCGGAATCGAGCCGGGTAGGACCACAAGGGCGGCAAAGCTCTCCCAGATTATATTTTCAAGATTATATTGACTGACTCTGTTTGTGTCCTTTGTCTGATTAGGCTTATCTTATTGATTTTATTAGTGCATGTATTATGAGTTGATACCACGTACTTTCAACTTGAAAATGATAATGAAAAAAAAAAAAAAAAATCGAATCTTAAAAACCTGACCATAAAAAATTCGGATGACATAGTTATGGAGTTATCCCCACTTGTTCACAAATAGTGTATTGACATGTGTTCTACATTAAATACACTTTACACTGGTGTTAAACATTAAGGGATCGATGACTCTATAAAAAAACTATTAGATGACTCTATAGAATTTCTGGTTAAATACACTACAAAAGAAACTCTTACATTCCAATGGAAATTTTCCGTTGGAATTTTTTATATTTCCGTTGGAATAGTTATTCCAACGGATATTCTTACATATAAAAATCCGTTGGAAAAACGGCCGTTGGAATAGCAAATATCCAACGGAAAATCCTATGGAAATAAATTTCTGCAACTATTCCAACGGAAAAAATCCGTTGGAATTCCTCAACTATCTAACACTTATTCCAACATAAAATTAAGTTTGTTGGAATATTCATTGGAATTTCCAACGAAAATTTTTGCCGTTGGAATTGTA